AGAAGAAAAAGAAGAAGAAGGCAAGCAGGTGTTGTTGGCAGACGGCACGGTGCGACTTTATCGATTCCACCTAAGTGGTAGTAAGCAAGTGAGCAAGTAAGTTACGCTTACGCGCGTAACGTATTCGCGCGAAACTTCGAGCGAATAATCGAAACGAAGGACGGATCGATGATTCGTGAGCGAATTCGAAAGCGTGCGCGATGAATAGAGAGGGGGAGGAGGGAGCGAGAGGGCGAGGGAATTGCGATTAATCGAGATGATGGTTCGTTCACCAACGAACGTAACGTCCGATAACGCGGAGACGGCGTTACCATCTGCCAAGATTAATGGTAAACGCGAGTTTATCGCAACTCTTTTACTTTGTCGCTTTGTATATAGGCGGCGATAATCCTTTTACACGATGGAAAAAAAATAAGTAAATAAATAAAGAAAAAAAGAAAAAAAAGAAAAAGTTCTTTTCTGTCACGCGTGTATATCCGCGTAAACGCTCGGAATGGAGAGAGCGAGGTGGCAGGTGCGTCGTCGTTCGCGTAGATAGATGATCGCGGATAAACTCGGAATCGAGCGTCCACGCGTGCAATGCTTGTTCACGAGATCAAACGCGCCTCTCTTTCTTTCTCTTTCTTTCTCTCCCTCCTCTTCGACGTTTAGCGTCGTACGTATAAATTTCCACTTTTAACGAAAGAGAGAGAGAGAGAAAGAAAAAGAGAGAGAGATCTAAGAGATCGGTCGATAATTCGGCCGGCACGATGATTAAGGTGGCGACGTTATAATGGCGCGTAATGATCGCTTCGCTCGCCACCTCGGTGCACGAAATACGCGGCGAAACCAATCGATCCACCGGCGTTGGATCGCCCGTACGGGGTTACGTAAGTAGTACCTAGTAGCGAGTTTCTTCTCTATCGCGTAATATACGGGATATATAAAGTACGATATACCTACCGATCGAAATCCGTCAGCCTGGACGAGTCTCGAAAACCTTTGGCGAACGGGTTACTGTCGATCTTCAACTTGGTTATCTGGAACGGTACGATCGGTAAATCGCGCTTGTTCCATTTATTTTTCTCTCCGTCTCGTTCTCGCCCGACTCGAGGGCGCATGCGCGCGTGCGCGTGCACTCACCAATTGATTCTGGTAGGCAGTCACCGCGGTGAAAATCGCCTCGGGGAATACGAACGTCTTGTGCTCCTCCTTCTGAAGCTCGGTTATGCGAAGATTGTTGTCGTCCGTTTGTCGACACCGTACTAAATGTATCCTCGGTTGATATCTGTGCATCGAGTTGAGAACGATCTGAAAGAAGAAAAAGAAAAATTCCATCCACTTCACGATCGATAACAGAGACACGCGGAATACAATGTTTCGAAATATAATAATTTTCGCAACAGGTTAGGACCATCCCGGTCTCTGTTGTTTTGTTTTCGCGTGCCGTTTAGAGAAGTTTAATGTGGCGAGCGACCTAGGACGCAATCGAGACGAGTCCGCGCGTATCGATTTCCCGTCTCGAACGAAACAAGTTTCTCGCGTAATGGTAGATATATATCTACGAAACGCTCTAGATGTATATCGCGCGACTCTCGTTCGAATTTTCCACTTACGTGGACGCGTAATACGCGATCGGCTTATACCTTTCGCGTATACGTTTCGATCGATAAATTCTCGCGTATTTTGCTTCTTCGTCCCAACCGAGCGGGGACGCGTCGTTAACATCGCGATTCTTATTAGCGAGGAGAGAATAATCGTGGAAAATATATCTCGTATCGCGTATTTATCTACGGTTGGTATCGCGCGCTCGGAGAAAGGAAGAAACTCCTCCTCCATCGAAGAATTAAGCAAACGCGATCTACGTTTCTGCGGACAACTCTATTATTCTGAATCGCGTGCGATTTATAATATCGTTTTTTCTTCACGCTATACGGATAGACCGTCGGTCGAGAACGCTTTCAACGGTTCCTTCTCTCTTTCATATATATATATATATA